ACACTCGTAATGGGGACACTACAAAGACACAATGGGAACACTATTGCCACAATCACATCAGAAGTGCTCACCGCCCACCACCTGGTAGTTCAAGACTTGTGCAAGAATTTGTCTGTCTGTTTAAAGCTGGAGTGAGTTCGTTAATGAATATGCTTTTCCAAATTTGAAGGCGTCTTCTGTCACTGCACGTCCGTAAAATGTCAGTGCTGTCTGTCAGTTGTGATCGTGTCAATGCCATGTCGTGTTCGTGTCGCATGTGGTCCAGAGATGCCCCGTCACGTAAGTGTGCTGTCAGGCGTCGTGAGAGTGTCGCTGTGGCCACACCAATGTAGTGTATGGAACGAAGTTTGCAGCGTTCGATGTTGCATTGGAATTGATACACTACATTGGTGCATTTTAGATTGTCGGGTTTGTCTGGGCTGTTTTTCATAAGAAAGTTAGATATTTTCTTATTACGATAGTAAATGACGATACCCTTTTGTGGTCGTTTTTGCCTTTAACATGTCGAAAGATAATTTCCCGTAAAACTTTTTCGTCTTGTTTGTGGGCAGATGTCATTTGATTTTGATAATACAGTTTGACGGTTGGTTGGATGTCTTGCCTTGGTTTGCCTTCAAAGTGTCTTGTCGTATGTCGTTGTGTCTCGTTTTCAACGTCAAAATTTGAAAAAAACCGTTGTTCACCAAGATCTGTCTGATTCTTATCAATTCTGAACGTAGTCCTGTCCAATCAGAGCAGTGCTTAAATGTTCGTCTAATGAAGGACCTTATTACGCTAATCTTGTAGCGTCGAGGACACTCACTGTCAGCATTTAAGCACCACTCGTTGTTAGTCTGTTTTCGGTGTACAGTCATTTCGAGTTGTTGTCCTTGTCCATCGACAGCCACGTCAAGAAAGGGCAGTACGTTTTGCACACTTAAGCCACACCGTTCTTCAAAGGTGTTTTTGAGACGTTCTAGTTGGTCAATGTCCCTAACTTCCACAAATATATCGTCTATGTAGCGGCAGTAAATGTCCGGTCTTATGTCGTCATATTGTAGTATGTCGGTTTCTACGTGTCCCATAAATAAATTGGCGAATAGAGGTCCTAGAGGTGAGCCCATTGCAACGCCCTCAATTTGGCAATACATGCGGCCATCAGGCCCGCGGAAAGGAACTTCCAACTTGCAGGCGGTTAGTAATTATTCAAGAAGGCGCTTTGATATTTTGAGAGGAGGAATTTCAAGATGATTGTAGACTCGGTCAAGGATGATGGATACGGTTCTCTCAATGGGCACGTTTGTAAATATATTTTCAACATCTAGAGAGGCTAGTAGGCCCTTAGATTGACGAGATCGCACTATATCAATAAACTCATCCGTTGAGGACAAGCTGTAAGCCATGGGAAGATATGGGGACAGAAGACCGTTAAGACGTATCTCAACATGATCTTGCTGAGGAGCAAAAAGAGGTGCTTAATCTTGGACTTAATTGCCATATGTCGTCGAAATATGAGAAGCTTAAAAAGAAAGTAGAACTAGAAATTATTTACCAGGATATGTTGAATTTGGAAAAAGAGGACAAGGTTACCGTTGACAAGAATCTAAAGAACAGCTTACTGGGAGAGAGCACGAAAAAGCGTGGAAATGATAGGAGCAAGATATTCACACAAGAACTCAGGACGGCGGCAAAGGAACTTCGAGAAAAAGGCATCATCATTCGGCGAGCGGACAAATCATTACTCTACCTAGTGCCTGACAAAATTTAATATCATGAGAAACTAAACTGCATCCTGAACGACGACAAGAAGTTCCGGCGCATCACAAAAGATCCAACGGACAAACTCAAGACCGAGCTTAACAAACTAATCACTGCTGCCAGTGCTGCTGTTGGTGGCATACACTTTTCCAAGAGAACGGGTGAATTTGCGCCTGGCTATGCTTATGTTTCTGTGAAAGCTCACAAAAACGGCAACCCCTTCGTCCAATAATTTCACAGATCCCTTCACCAACCTATATAATTGCAAAAGGTCTTAATGGTCTTCTGTCCCCATATCTTCCCATGGCTTACAGCTTGTCCTCAACGGATGAGTTTATTGATATAGTGCGATCTCGTCAATCTAAGGGAGATCTAGAATCTAGAACGATCTAGAATCTTGTCTAGAATCTAAGGGAGATCTACTAGCCTCTCTAGATGTTGAAAATATATTTACAAACGTGCCCATTGAGAGAACCGTATCCATCATCCTTGACCGAGTCTACAATCATCTTGAAATTCCTCCTCTCAAAATATCAAAGCGCCTTCTTGAATAATTACTAACCGCCTGCACGTTGGAAGTTCCTTTCCGCGGGCCTGATGGCCGAATGTATTGCCAAATTGAGGGCGTTGCAATGGGCTCACCTCTAGGACCTCTATTCGCCAATTTATTTATGGGACACGTAGAACCCGACATACTACAAAATGACGACATAAGACCGGACATTTACTGCCGCTACATAGGCGACATATTTGTGGAAGTTAGGGACATTGACCAACTAGAACGTCTCAAAAACACCTTTGAAGAACGGTGTGGCTTAAGTGTGCAAAACGTACTACCCTTTCTTGATGTGGCTGTCGATGGACAAGGACAACTCGAAATGACTGTATACCGAAAACAGACTAACAACGGATGGTGCTTAAATGCTGACAGTGAGTGTCCTCGACGCTACAAGATTAGCGTAATAAGGTCCTTCATTAGACGAACATTTAAGCACTGCTCTGATTGGACAGGACTACGTTCAGAATTGATAAGAATCAGACAGATCTTGGTGAACAACGGTTTTTTTTCAAATTTTGACGTTGAAAACGAGACACAACGACATACGACAAGACACTTTGAAGGCAAACCAAGGCAAGACATCCAACCAACCGTCAAACTGTATTATCAAAATCAAATGACATCTGCCCACAAACAAGACGAAAAAGTTTTACGGGAAATTATCTTTCGACATGTTAAAGGCAAAAACGACCACAAAAGGGTATCGTCATTTACTATCGTAATAAGAAAATATCTAACTTTCTTATGAGAAACAGCCCAGACAAACCCGACAATCTAAAATGCACCAATGTAGTGTATCAATTCCAATGCAACATCGAACGCTGCAAACTTCGTTCCATACACTACATTGGTGTGGCCACAGCGACACTCTCACGACGCCTGACAGCACACTTACGTGACGGGGCATCTCTGGACCACATGCGACACGAACACGACATGGCATTGACACGATCACAACTGACAGACAGCACTGACATTTTACGGACGTGCAGTGACAGAAGACGCCTTCAAATTTGGAAAAGCATATTCATTAACGAACTCACTCCAGCTTTAAACAGACAGACAAATTCTTGCACAAGTCTTGAACTACCAGGTGGTGGGCGGTGAGCACTTCTGATGTGATTGTGGCAATAGTGTTCCCATTGTGTCTTTGTAGTGTCCCCATTACGAGTGTTTCTTACATGCATAAAAATGAAAATAGGAGTCTGTCTTACTTTAATTAGTTATCAATGCTGGGTCAGCTGAGTCATCGTCGTCAATGAGGGAGTCGTCAATGCTGAGTCAGCAGTTATTTCTAATCAAACATATATATATATATATATATATATATATATATTTAGCGCGGTTTGTTCCGCCGGACTGAGGCGTGATGGACGGTGTGAGGTTTGTTCCGCCGGACTGAGGCCTGATGGACGGTGTGAGGTTTGTTCCGCCGGACTGAGGCGTGATGGACGGTGTGAGGCAAACATCACGGCGTCAGCACATAGCCATTTAGCAAAATAGTGCAACGCCGCTACAAACGGCCCTCGCAGAGCCAGCGAATGGTCGTTTGGGTAATATTATCTGTCTCATTACGCTCATTTGCACAGTTTCGAGGCTTTTTCGCTTTGTTTCTTTGCCAAGAATGGCATGGTTAACAATGCCCATGCGCGAGCATGATAGTGCGTTGATAGAGACAGCACTCAGGAAGGCATCTGAGAAGCTGAATTGGTATTCTGAATGTTTGATATTGTTTGGAAGACGGCTGTGCTTGCGATACCTTGTCCACGCCGTAACCGACTCACGGTTGTGTGCCTTCCTCAGTTCAAAGGAAGTGTTTTACGTTTGTATGGGGTTTTGAACTGAAATATGCATCTCGAAGATGGTTCAGTACAGTTCACGGTCCTGCCCTTCTTAAGACCAAAAGCCCTCCAGTTTCTCAGCTACATGCCCACGAAGATGTGCAGACTATGTTGAAGAAACTATTACAAGGTCACCCAGGCAACCATGACGCCATGATTGCGTCATTTGAGTTCCGTCATTCCATCAGACATGCGGCGACCGAGGCCAAGGATTGTCGAGTCGTTCATACCTGGCGTTCGTGAGCACGATTTAAGGATTTCCGGATTTCCAGGCCGTAAATTAGCTCTCAACCAATGTTGTGCAAGGTATGATGACGCAATCAGACAATGGCGTATTATGGTGCATGTTTACTTAACAGAGAAAAAGCGTTGTCTAGAACCTTCGTTTCCACTTAAAAGTATACCTAACGTTGTATGTGGGCATATTTTATCCTTCCATCAATATATTAAAACGTGGAGCATTCTCTTTAAGTGCTCTGGCACTTTCTGCAGTTGCGGAAGCTACAGCTCATGTATAGTGAATGGGGCGTGATATTTTCGTTATCGTCATTTTCTTTTCCCCATGATGTCCACAGAAAACAAAAAGCAAAAGCTGGAACCACCACTGCCGTGGTCTTTTTAATCACGTGCTGATTATTTCTGAATACGCACCCAAATGTAGCAATCCGCAATATTCCGGCTCCACTTATCACCTTTATCTTACCGTATTATGCAAACCATAAAAGTCGGTATACAACTTCCGCATTACTAGGTTTTGTACTCTATGTAATGCTTCATCGCAAATAATCCCATGGTATCCAATAGCTATTTTTCTGAATATGCTGTTTCATGTCTCAATGATTTTGACCTGGTCCACTGGTCCTCAAAAGCAGACTTATTCTGCCAAATATTCGAAAGCAATCATATTACTGAAGCAATTCGATCAGTGACCCCAAAAGTGTCGTGGTTTGCTGGAGGTGGCCGAATACTCCCCCCGAATCTCCACTTGTTGCGAGAAGCGTTTTGCTCACACACGATAAACGCGCGAGCTAATATCAAGTCATCCTCACTCTGCGTCCACTTTCCAACCACTTAGAAAGCATGGCTAGTCACAAACTCGCTCTCTAAAGTGGTCAGCGTTTGTCAGGAGCTGTCAAGCCGAACGTCCGCCTGCCTCCGCCAGTATTGCGGCACAGCACACATCGAACCGCAGGCGGCTGCACAGACGACTGCTAACGTAATCGACCCCGTAATGGATTAGATTAGCATCGAACCGGTGCGGAATTGATAAGTCTGAGCAACTGCGTTTGTCCGCCTGAGTTGCCGGCCAAATCGGTGAAAAACCGCCCGAAGGGAAATGCCGGCAACAGAATGACATGGACTAATGATCCGTCGGCGTACTTGTACAACAAATGTAGCTGACTCATATAGAGCTGTCCACCGTATATAGCGTGCGTCGTCTTCCAGGAAGCTCTAAAGCGGGTTGCACACCAGCCTGCCATCGCTGCAGTAGGGCTCATCGGCACTGGTTCCGAAACTGAACCACATCGCCTTGTGTTAGGAGCAAAATCAACCTAGAGTTCTATAGTGGCGCCCGGAGGCAGAGGCGCAATCAACTGCATGCCATGTGAGAAAATGTGGGAGTGGATTTCTCTAAAGGGAACCAGGTGCAAATTAGCTCGTGACGACCGTAATCAGCTGTCGGTGGCGGCCCAATTTGGCGTCATGTACACAGGCATGTGTGGTAATATGGGATGCGTGGCTGGTAATGTCATGTCACGTCATGTCACAGCTGAAATGAGGGTCGTGTCATGACGGAGAGAAGACTTCAGTCATACAGGGACATAAAATTGTCCAGCGGTAATCCAGGACGGGAGGCCTCGTCCTGAAGCCGGGAAGGTCAGAGTGGTCTGGAGATCGGGCCGATCCAGGACGAGAGGACCTGTCCTGACGCCGGGAAGGCCGGAGTGATCTGGAGATCGGGCCGATCCATGACGGGAGGCCCTGTCCTGAAGCCGGGAAGGCCGGAGTGATCTGGAGATCGGGCCGATCCAGGACGAGAGGATCTGTCCTGAAGCCGGGAAGGCCGGAGTGATCTGGAGATCGGGCCGATCCAGGACGGGAGGCCCTGTCCTGAAGGCGGGAAGGCCAGAGTGGTCTGGAGATCGGGCCGATCCAGGACGAGAGGACCTGTCCTGAAGCCGGGAAGGCCAGAGTGATCTCGAGATCAGGCCGATCCAGGACGGGAGGCCCTGTCCTGAAGCCGGGAAGGCCAGAGTGGTCTGGGGATCGGGCCAATCCAGGACGAGAGGCCCTATCTTGAGGCCGGGAAGGTCAGAGTGATATCAAGATCGGTGAGAAACTGTGGACGGCAAGAGATCTCTGTCGCCACCGAGAGAAGCCTTTCGTCTGAGGGCTGTATAGTTGTGGCATGCATAGTGGGAGACGCTGTTCGAAGCGAGGAGAAACGTGGTAACGTGGAACTTTCGATGGAAAAGAGCCATGGAAAGGTGAGAGGGAGCCTCCTCTGAAGACAGAGAGAGGACCTAGCGGTATATGGGCAGCCCAAGAAATGACCCAAAGGCATGGAATGACAGGAGGGAAGCTCTCACCTCCATGGACAACATAAAACCCAGCACAGGGCAGGTACGCGTCTCAGAAAGTCGGAACAATGGTGAGACAGGAAGCTCACATTATGAGCGACGGCAGTCAACTCAACGGAGGCACTTGTGAAAGAGTGGATGCTGTGACAGCTTAGAATTTCTCGTTAGGGAATGAGAAAAACTGATATGTGAGAAAGCCTTTATATATATATATAAGCTCACACATAACCATTGGTCACATCCTGCGATCTGTGGTAAACATAGCGTTTACTGCTGGGGCTCTCGACAGGAGGCCCCCTTAACGAACAGCAGGATGCCAAGGCAGTTAACAAAACTGTCATCCTCAAAGCCATGGTACAATGCACAGCACACACGACGAATATGATCAGCATATTTGATAGCTGGGACAGGCTTCGCGGCAGAGGGCGCCCACGATGAAAGACGAAACTACGTGACGCAACAGTCTGGGATAATGGGGGCCATAGTATGACAGGAGGCTCCTGTCGCTACAAGAAACGAGAGGTCATGTAAATGAAGAGTTCTGGAATGATTTGAAGCCCTGCTACTGGAAGGAAGGATATTTATATTATAGCATACACCTTGTTTGGTGAAAGCCACCTGGAAACACGCCATCCTACACCGACTGGCACTGATTATTGACGCTTCCGCTGGCAAAACCGCCATATTCCGCTGCGGTCTGCGTGCGTGCACTGTTTGCTAAAGACGGCCTGTGAAATTTGTTCTGTCCCCTATCTGCCGCAGGGCTTACAGGGATTCCTCATGATACCATGGCAGCTCACTGGTGTACCAGCCTGTTTGGGGTAGCATACGTCCAGCTAAAAGCCAATTTCATTTAGTATTTTGTACAAGCAATGTGACTAACGGCGCGCTCTTAATGCGTGACAGTGAGGCTGGTGCGATCAGTGCTAGCTATCCGCATCAGCAGGTGTTTCACCGAGCTTGATCGGGCAGATTCTGCTGAATCTTGCTCGAGGCATTTTTGAAGAGCAGTCCAGCCTGGAAAACTTGGTGCAGCAGATAATGCGGGAGGCGATAGACCTGCTGCACTGCGAACAAGCCGCAGTGTTCCTGCGCGAGGACCAGCACGACGAGGTAAGCAAGCGCAAACAGCTAGGCGTCATATGAGAACCTCACGACATTTGTGACTTAACAGTGAGTCTTCCAGCAATGCTCCTCAATTTTGTCTTGCCAGGGCAAACATAAACATGTAATTTCAAAATGCGCATATCAACGACAATAAATACAGAGCAACGAAAGCATGAACATTGTTTTGATTTCAGGCGAGCTCATGTATACCATTGCTTTAATACCAGCGAGAATAATTATTTAACACTCGGCTTTCAAAGAATTTATCATAGAGCTGAAATGTTGCATATACGATGCGAACTAAACAATCATCGCTTGGTAAAACCAAGATACCAAAATAATTTGAGGACGGGGTGAGGGTGGGGGAGGGGGCGTCATCACCAACGTACGTACGTTAAGTGAGTTTGAGCAGGTCCACTCATATTAACATCAGGCGCCTGAGCAAAAGTGCAACAAGTCGCATGGTTAATTCTGTTTGGGCATTAAGTACACATTGATGAAATAGGTGGAATGCTCTATAAAAACATATAAGATGCACCGGAAGCGATACGCTACGTTGCAGCTTGACCTAAGATGGCCTAGAATGTTACCTAAGCTCATTTGCCCACCATGAGTCATAACTTGTGAGGAAGCGTCAGTACCAAGAAAACGTGCATGGGTACGAGGCGAGATCGGTAACCAGATGTTCTACACCGTCAGACACTCTTGACATTAAATTCACCTGAGATGAAATAAATGGCAATTTTTTGGCACAGCTTGTGTAATTCTTGTGCTGAGGAATACACACAATTTCAAACTTACAACACGTTTGTACCCAGCGTTATTTGCAAAGCAAGGGGATGCGGACGCCCCGCCCAAGCCAACTCTTGGGATAGTGTGTGGTTAATATAGTGAAGATCCATCAATTCATTTCCTCAAACCATGAAGTGTAAAGCATTTGACTTCCCGAGATAACACAGGTCACCTTCAAAACTAATCTTGTCGTGCTTTGCGTTGGCTTTTATGTGTGGGAAATCGCACCTCTACCAAAGATGACCTCTCGTAGACCGCATTGTTTAAGCCCGAAGCCCCTCCCCGCCATTGTTCTCACGTTGACTTCATACTATGTTACACATGGCGTCGGTCTGTGCCCTCGCACCAGGTGGCGTGCAGGACCGAGCGGTCCCTGGGCAGCGCGGTCCGGTCGGCAGACCAGCTATCCAGCGGCGAGCACCGCTCGCGCGCCACCTCCCGGGAGAGCGGCCACTCGGACCAGGTATGCTGCGGACCAGGGCCAGGGGCCAGCCGAGGACCAGGTATGCTGCCAACCAGGGCCAGGGGCCAGCCGAGGACCAAGTATGCTGCCGACCAGGGCCAGGGGCCAGCCGAGGACCAGGTATGCTGCCGACCAGGGCCAGGGGCCAGCCGAGGACCAGGTGTGCTGCCGACCAGGGCCAGGGGCCAGCCGAGGACCAGGTATGCTGCCGACCAGGGCCAGGGGCCAGCCGAGCCGCCACGGCTCCATTCCCGCTGCGCTCCCCGGCATAGGAAACCGACGCAAAAGCTCTTCACAAGGGAAATTGTATTGTTACGAACTTTCAGCCCCGAGTAGCACTACACGCGTCTGACTTCCATACGGAGACCGCAGCTCGCCGCGCCCGTGTGCGTCCGTTTACTTTCGTTGACGACTCGCCATTCCGACGGATCGCCGTCGCCGAGGTTCGTCAGCGGCGGCAGTCGTCGACGCGCGTTGGCTGACGGGTGCGGGTGTTGCAGGCAGCGGGCTTTGGAGAGACATGCGCCAAAATTGTAGTCAGTCGTTATAAAACAGTCAGGTTCACATTTCCAGCTACTATGACTCCGTTACCATTCATTTCCCAATAGAGGCCACCAAATACGTAATATGACGTTCTGAAGTAAACATATAAGGAAACGAACATCACTGGTGCCTAATCAATATGCCTATGATTTAGTTTGACCTTCACCTTAGACTTTATTGCATTTGTTTCATTACTTTCGGGTACAGACAGGAAAGGTGCGTAGCGCTGACTTGCGCAGCCCGTCACCGACCAGTGCCATGCCGCAGGCCGTCACCGGTCAGTGCCATGCCGCAGGCCGTTACCGATCAGCGCCATGCCGCAGGCCGTCACCGATCAGCGCCATGCCGCAGGTCGTCACCGATCAGCGCCATGCCGCAGGCCAGGTTCCCGTCACCGACCAGTGCCATGCCGCAGGCCGTTACCGATCAGCGCCATGCCGCAGGCCGTCACCGATCAGCGCCATGCCGCAGGCCAGGTTCCCGTCACCGACCAGTGCCATGCCGCAGGCTGTCACCGGTCAGTGCCATGCCGCAGGCCGTTACCGGTCAGCGCCATGCCGCAGGCCGGGTTCCCGTCACCGACCAGTGCCATGCCGCAGGCTGTCACCGATCAGTGCCATGCCGCAGGCCGGGTTCCCGTCACCGACCAGTGCCATGCCGCAGGCCGGGTTCCACCAGTGTTTCACCCTGACGAAAGAGACTGGAGGCGGCCACACGCTCCGCACACTGAGGGAGGCCGAATTCCGGCACCTGGCTCTGCACGACGTGGCGCTCCGGGTCCTCGACACCGGCGAGGTAGGTGTCAGGGGCGTCTGGATCCCTGAGAGCGGCAGCGCAGATGACAGAAAAGACTCCAAGTCCCGAGACACCGGCGAGGTAAGTATTATAGAACTCTTCGGAGAACTCGCTGGATCAGTGCGGTAAGTATCACGAAAGCCTCCGGGTCCCCGAGACAGGTGAAGTAGGTATTTGAGAGCCCCCCGGGTCATGGAGACGGGTGAGGTAGATATAAGAGAAGCCTCCGGGCTCCGAGATCGGCAGAGTAGTCATTAGAGAAGCCCCTCGGTCCGCGAGACAGGTGAGGTAGGCAGTAGAGATGCGCCCGGGTCCCCGAGACGGGTGAGGTAGGTATTAGAGAAGCCCCCAGGTCGCTGAGGCCAGTGAGGTAAGAGATACAAGGGACCTGCTCCGATGGCTGGGTCGGGAGAACTGCTCACGAGCTTCCAGTCACCCACGCACATTCGATGCTGCCCAACAACAGCGCGCTGAATTTGATTCTAATCGTATGGTATATACCGTTCTGCAAAGTCTGAAATCTTGGAAGGCTCGGCAAGTCTAAGACATGACCAGTCGCCGCCTGCACGCACCAACCGCCGCACTGGTTTCGAGAATGCGTTGATCGGTCAGCTTATACCACGCTGACTCCCGCCCCCGTGGCTCCGGCTGCGCACGGTCGGTAAGTACAAAAACTACCTTGAGCCGATTCAGCACATTTTCTTGACATGGGAGACTCATCAGTGGGGGTCTCTGGACGCTGCCTAGCATCGCGTCGGTGGCGGCTTACTAGAAAGCAACGTTCCAGGCGCCTCCGGTGCACCATTATCCGGAGAGCCTTGCAGCATAACAGACGGGGCGGGCCGCGACCTCAATGACCAGAGCACTTCCGTGAGCCATAAACAATCCAGCGATTGAGCCACACCATTAGGCGGATGGCGTGGCAGGAGAAGAGAGCGGGGGGGGGGGGGGGGTAGTACCGCCCTGTGCGGCGGCGTACTGAGCGAGCCGCGTCTCTACCTCGCAGACGATCTGCAGTTCGGAGGAAGGCACCGACAACTGTGACGTGCGCTGGCGGCGGGAGGAGCGGAGCGCCGCGGCACGGTCCGTGCTCACCATCCCAATACACAACCAGAGCCACGTCACTATCGGCGTGGCCCACTTCATCAACAAGGTGCGTCGGCCGGCGCGGGCAACGCCATACGACACGAAGCAGCACGCCGCCGTGGCACGCCGTATTGACAACGGTCTCAGTCGGGTAATCAGGCAACAGATCATATGACAACATATCGGGCGGCACCACAAGGCATGGCAAACATTCGGACGGCATGAGGATCGCCAGCGGATGACAGGTGATGAGGATCATTTGGATTGAGATTGCGTGTTAAAAGATGATACAGAATAAAAGTCATGAGGAAAAAGGATTTCGTGTGAAAAAAATGTAAAAGCCGTTTGCATCACGGATTACAGTACAGACTTTTCAATAATTCGTTTGCTTCTTTGTTGTTGCTTTTAGTTTTTAAGCGTATATTTCATTGGGAATCGCATCATTACATCACAACCACAGTAACAAACACATATTTGATAGGCCATTTTCCGCTGGAAATGTTTTGTGTACATATGAAAAGCTTGTTGGAAAGGTGTATATGTTGACATGATTCCAATGTGTTGAATCTAAGCAAGATCACGCTTATGCGGGAGGTAATCATGTTAAATCTTTTCGTACCGAGACTTTTCAAAACTTGTTGAAATGACCCGTTGGCATGTCTGACGCAGACGCGAAAAAAAACAACAAACTCCTTTGTCCTGGCCTCGTCCCTTTTCATAGGTATGCAGTTCTTACAGAGTTCGCTTGCCTACCAACAGGGCACACGAGGAATAATCCCTGAATTAAATGATCCCCAAAACGCAGCTTATTCCAACGGCCCGGATGTGAGCAACAATGACGTGGCCAGCATCCGGTTCTCTTGTGCAATTAACACGACCGATTGCCAGACCTGGTACTTTCATAGAATTTTGATAAGCTAAAGGCATGAAATGAAGCTATAAATAGCTTCGATTCGTATTGTCAGCTTAGTCATATTCTAAACCACGACAAGCATTGTTTACAGTGTTCATAAATGTTAGACGTTAAACTCAATGTATTGCATTAAAACAACCATTTCATTGGATAAGTGTTAAGTACATATCACAACTTAATGCAAAAAATATGTTAAAGACTTTTCAGGTAATAAATCCATCATGAAAACGACTGGCGTTAAAACCTTTAAGGGACAAAGGTCACAATGGCGAAAGCTTGTGAGGGACAAAGTTCATACGGGCAAAGATCGCACAGGATGAGGGACGCACTGACGGCTTCGGCTCCTGTGTGCGATCTCTCAGGAAGGCCACCGGGCCTGACTGACAAACGGTGGCGCCACCAACGCTAACGCAGAGACAACTTTGAATACATGCCCATGGATATAGGCGTAGGAACGTTTCAAAATGTGTGTGCTTTGGAGGAGGGGGGGGGGGGGAGCAGGCTTGAGTTATACTTCAGAAACCTTTTTTGGGAAGCAGGCCCGGCGACCGGGAGAGTGGGCTTAAAGATGGATGTTATTTTCCCTTCTTAATTTACATAGCATATCTTAAAAATAATTGAAACTGCTAGCTGCCATGCCAGATATACATCAACAGTTTTTCTATCACTGGTGCACAATCTTGCCTGTTCAACTCAGTTATATCATTCGGCAAATAAGGCCATCCAGCTTCCCAAGATTATTCGTCCATTTCAGAATTGTTTCACATGGACAGGCGAAAATCTACGCGCTTGTGCAGATTACGTGTAGGCATCATTTATATTTTTGGTTATTGAGAAGGCATCTCTCTCCACAGGTAGATGCCAAAAGACGATCTCGACATTGACTGGTGAATTCGCTGACAGCTTTTCAAGAGATAAGACTTGACGCAGCATTTTAGGCGGAAACAAAATTGGAAGCATCAAACACTAACAGCCAAAAACAAGGTGACAAAAACCATAAACTTGAGACCCTCCTGTAACAACAAAGTCACAGAATTAGCTCCATTCTGTCAGATATTCCTTCCACGAGCTCTGCTCCCGTCCGCCGCCGGCGGCCACAGCCATGATCCGGCTGTACCCTGCGTGGCTGACTGCAAACTGATCGCATGGCTGCTTTGCTGCATATTTTTGGATAAATATTTTTTCCTTTTTCAAGATTTCTACCTTTTGGTATGCAAACCTATATTGGACACCCGCCACAATATCTCTTCCGAATCATATTCCCTTACGCCACACTACCGCAAAAAATCGACTGCAAGCTGCCTGCCTTAAGCATATATTGGTCCAACGGACATTCAATTCCCCACCAATTAGCATAGCCGACTTTATCTTTTGTATGTAGGCAGGGGCGTAGCCACAGTCTTGCGAGGAGGGCGTGGGGGCACAGGGTTGACAAAATCCCCCTGTGGTGAGCCCCTCAAAATTGCCAGATATAGCTCTGTTGTGAGCGAGGGACACAGTCTTCTCTGCTTCATCGTTATTTTTACCTTGTAACCAGACGTAAACAGAAACCAGAAGCTGCCACGAGGTCACTTCTGTCTGCATTTTAAAAGTCAATTAACTGCAGAAATCAGACGTTGAAATCCATGGAATAGACTACTGGCGCCCTCTCATGGTTCAGTGGACAGTGGACAGGGGTTCAGTGGACTTTTTTAAACCGATAAAGTCAGAAGCTTTCTCAGACTTTTTGTAGACATTAAGGACCCCGCGAAAACAGATTGTAGATATAAGTGGGTTGGCAGTGTCTGTTGGCATTGTCAAGCCATTCATTCTCGGAAATTTTCAGCATTCAGTCAGAATCGATTAGTGGTACAAATTATGTAACGTAGCTTTGAACATGCACGTTCATAAATCTTAGTAGCAAAAGCCTCGACGCCAGGCGTGGCAGTCTCGTTAAGCCGCGCAGCGTCGACCGAGCGGTGAGCGTTGAGCGGCGGCCAACCGGTGGACGAAAGGATGACGCTTCTGAAGGCAGAGCCATGGAAAGCTCGGTCCCGAGGAAAGACAAACACAGCACCCGCCGCCTGGTGTCCCTTGCAATGGCCAACACCGTTCGGTTTTACGAAGCTGCACCCCAGGCCATCGCTATTCTTGCTCACGAGATTGTGAGTGCGCATGTTTAAACCTTGTGATCGGATTTGTTTCACTTATCGGTTCTGCGAAGAATGAATGCTCTCAGGCACGCATGCAATGACCTTATTCGTTTTTGAGTGTATTTCGAAGTGTTTCATTCAGCAATTATGAGAGCCCCTATTTCCTTCCTGGCAAGGGGCCCATTGAGTAAAACGCTAAGGGCACATTACGGTCCCCGGTCGAGTGCTGAAGGGCCTTTCCGTCCCATTGCCGGGTATCTTTCGGCTGTCGTTCTGGCGTCACGGGACGGAAACCACTGGCCGGAGGCCTTTAGAGCGGTACATCACATCACGTTTGCCTTCCCCGACGCGGGGGGCCTTCTGACGGGTGCAGCTGCTCCCGGATCAGCACAGGCACCCCAGTGATCTAACATCTCTGATCGCCGCAGGTGGTCCAATCAATGTCAAATGAACTTCAATTCCATATTTTTCCGTGCCCTTCAGATATATCGAGGACCCCTGAACGTATATTGTGGACCGAAATGGATTTCCAAATTTGCATTGACATGGCTAACCCATGTTCGTTTTGAAGTGCGCAGCATTCAGTCAGAATTGATTACTGAGAAAACTTGTATTACAAGGTTTTGAGCATGCGCGCTCGCAAATATTAACCACACGTCGACCACGGGGCTGTGACATTAAGTCACGGCCAATGAGCAAACGAAAAACAATGACGCATGTTGAGGAAGATGGCTGGTCTACCATGTAAAACGGCATGCACGTCCCAAATACTGCAAAGGTAAGCTAACCGCAACCTAAATCGGAGAAATGGGAGGGGGACAGGTAACATTGCTGACCCCCACTTTCATGAACGTAGCAACAGGGGGGCCAGGGGGGCCATGATTCCCCACTTTTCAAGGTAGGGGGGAGGGCAGCAGTGTTAACTGGCCCCACTTTTCAAATTAAAGTCCTGTTTAGCTTACGTTTGCACCACATTTGAATATACATGCCGATTTGTCTAGTTCGCGAACCACCTTCCTTAAGATGGGTTATCTTTTTCGTTTGCTTATTGGCCATCGCTTAGTATCCCAGCCGCAGGCCGACGCCGCACGAGCTATGGAAACCGCAACGCCGGGCGCTCAGGCTGTTGTTGCTATGACTTGCGAGCGCGTACGTTCAAAACCATATTACATAGTTTTTAATTACAAGTTAGTTACAAGCTTAGGACCTCATTTTATCTACAGTCTACGTTCAGGAATTCCTCAATATATCTGAAGAAAACAAAAAAACATGGAACTGGAGCTTGTGTGACAATTATTAACCACCTTTGGCCACCAGGGATGTTGTTGCGTCAATGAGGGTTCCTGTGCTGATCCGGGGCCAACCGCGAGGATCAGAAGCCTCCGGTATCAGGGAGGGGAACAATGTGATATGATATATCCTTCCAATGGTGTCCGGATCGACCAAGAGATCCCGCCTCGATCGCTAGAATGACAGCCAGAAGACGCTTCGCGATGGAACGGAGTGGCCATTCATCTCTTGACCGGAACCGGCATTGTGCCCTTGGTGCTCTACTCAAAGAGTCTCTTGCCGGGAATAAAATAAGGGGTCTCATTATTTTTGAGTAGAGTGAGGGTCTCAATATTGTTGAATAGAGTATGTCGAAATGAATCAAAAAAGACAAACAAGGCCATCCCGTTTTTGCCTAGGAAAGTTCATTTTTTTCAAAATGGATTGGTGAAAGAGTGCATCAAAAGGTTTGAACATGCCCGCCAGCAACCTCGACAGCAAGGCCAGCGATGGCCTGTGTCGCAGCTTCCGAAAAACCGAACGGCGTCGGCCACTGCAAGTGCAACCAGACGGTGGGCGCCGTGTCATTCTGTCCTCTGGACAGACCTTCTGTCTTCTGTTAATCTGTCTTCTGGAATTTGACCTTGCTTGACCTCATTTGACTCGAAGGTCATGACCTAGAAACCCGAACCTTGGACCAAAGTGAGTTCACGCACAGGTCAACAAACCCCGTAAATTTTGGTGTCCCTAGCTGCTTTAGTTCCCGAGATCCCAGGGTGTCAAATTGACCCCTCCCCACACCCGAGCGAAGGATATCCAGCCAGCCACCCGGGCGCGTGTTAATAGTTATAGAAACACGAAAAATAGAGAGTCTACCTTTACTCTTCCAGTTCCACCACTAGGTTCCAGCACCACTTCATGATTCTTTAAGGGCCAACCTGTTCTTATCATCAGTCTAAAAATAGCATTGTTGAAATACGCACCCAGACTGCCTTGTAGATGTAAGAATTGATGTCCTGAAGCATTCAAAGGTAATTCTTTCAGAAGCGTCATCATGTTCTTCCACCAGCTGGCCACGACTCAATATTAGCGTTTGAGCCGACGCTGCGCGGCCTACGGAGACTGCAACGCCTGGCGCCGGGATGAATATAAACTAAGATTTGCGAGTACGCATGCTCAAAATTTTGTCACATAACTTTTATTACTAGCCGATTAAAGTGTTTAAAGGTAATTTTCAGAGCCGTTATCATTTTTGTCCACCGGTGGGCCATAACGAAAAGTTAACCACTAAACTAGCGCTCCGCGGACTATGGAGACTACAACGCCTAGCATTGAGGTTTTTGTTGCTAAGATTTGCGAGCGCACATGTTAAAAACTACGTCATATAAAGTGCACCTTTAATCGATTCTGACTGAATGTTAAACATTTCCAGACAAACATGGCTGGGCGGTGCTAATACACATTGTTGACCGCTCGATTTACAATACAAATTTTCATCCTTAAATTTCGATCAAACATATCGATCTACGATCTACCTTCGCTATGTCATCAATGTTTGTAGGACTATGATAAAACATAATAAAAAAGCTTCTGAGTTCTATCGGTTTAGAAAGAGTCCACTAAGGAATGGCACCTTAAGGACGCGGGTGATTTATTCCATACGGTCGTTAAACGACTGATTTCTGCAGTTTATTGACCTTGACACGCACTCGGGTAGGGGTCAAATTGACTCGCCCCTCAAAGTTTTTTCCAGAATGTCTTCCGAACGGTGCGGAGCAGCCGCACCATGTATTGCACATCTGTATATAATTAAATGTCAGATCGTTTGGCACAACAAATTAGATGTTATTTGTAAGGTCGCTAACCAGGTCAAAGTCAGGTCATGGTTTCAGCGAAGTCAGCTTGTAGGGAATCGTTCAATCAGATGCAACAGTTGACTGTTAGACGAAGCCATGCATCTCTGAGATGCTTTCTTAGGCAACACAAATATTGAATGAGCAAATTACTTTGACCTAAGGTCAGGTCAAAAGGTCAGACCAGGGCCAAAACCGGCTGTTTTATTACTCTGGGGCTTGTTGTATGGGATAGTTTCTCGTGCTCCTTTCGAATTTGCTGATAGCAGGAACCACATTATGCATCTTCCATCGACTTCTGAGAGTTCAGAATAGATCATTGACCTAAATTGGCCTAGGTCAATATTTTGTTTTAGAAGCATACTGCCTGTCGTAATCTATGTCGCTTATTAAAATGCAAATCTCAAAGCAGTCTTGCATGATTTTGGTCACCATTACCTTCAACAGGTCAAACAAGGTTACTGACCTTAAATTAACATGTGAACTTGTGCTTAGAAACAGTTATCTAGGTTCTGGGAGCACTTCAGAGACCAACCTGGAATTTAAAGTTGTTTGACCTTATTTGACCTAAAAGTCGTGACCTACGAATCTCGAACTTTGACCTAAGTGAGTTCGCGTACAGGTCAACACACCTTGTAAACTTGGTGTCCCTAGCTCTCTTAGTTTCCGAGATCTCGGGAGATCCAATTGACCTCCTACCGGAACGAAGGGTATCCGGCCTGCCACCCGGGCGCCTCCTATCTAGCCTGCCACCCGGGCGCGTGTTAAAAAATTGAACAGAATTGATTTCGCGGTAGCTTCTGGTTTGTGTTCTGGTTACAACGTAAAGTAACAATGAAACGAAGAAAACCGTATCCCTTGTAAATAAGTAAACTGTATCCGGGGACATCTTTTTGTGGGGGATCACCATAAAGGAGGCTTTTGTCAACCTTGTGTTCCTCTCAGCAAGGCTCTGGCTACTCCTGCCTGCACACAAAAGCAGATCAAGTCATCTACGTTGAATGACGGCAGTCAAGTGTCCGTTGGGCCAATTCATACCTAAAGTAGGCAGCTTCCCGGCAGCATTTTTCTGGGGTGGCGTGGTGTAAGGGAATATAACTTGGGAAAAGGTACGGTTGCAGGTATCCAGCACATGTTTTGCATCTCAAATAGCAGCAATGCTGATCCAGAAATGTGTAACAAAGCAGGCATACCATCAGTTCGCGGTCAGTCATTCCGAGACAGCCGGGCCAGGACGGTGGTCACCGACGGCGGACGGGAGCAGTGCTCAGACAAGGAATATATTACAGGATGGCTTTTATTCTGTGGCTAGGTTTTCAAAGGAGAATCTCCAGTTCTATGGCTTTGGTCACGTGGTTTTTGACGATTTCAAGATCCGAATTTGCTTCCGCCTAAAATGCCTCGCAAAGTGTTATCTCTTGAAAGCACCCAGCGAAATGAAGGCGCGTGAAAAATCCGTCGCAATGTGAGCCATCGATTTACTTTCAAATTTCTCGCCAGCCTACGCTCAGGCCGTATTTTGGCATCTACCCTGTGGAGACAGATGCCTCCTCAATAACCCAAAATCCCTACCCGCTCGTGGAATTTCGGCTTCCCAGGAAAGACAACGTTGAAATGGACAAATTATCTTGGGAAGCTAGATGGTCTTAGTTCCCGAGTGACAATGATGAGTCGGATAGGCAAAAGTGTGCATCAGTGAGAAACAGCTCTAAAAGCATACCTAGGATAGAAGTCATTACATTTGAATGAAGAGCGATAACCTCCATCTCTATCCCTTAGCCCCCCCCCCCCCCCACACCCAGTTCGTCGGGTTTGTTTTCCAGAAAAAGTTCCTTAAGTACACCCTGAGCCTGCCCCCCACTTTTTGAAACGTTCCTACACCTATGCCCACCTTGAAAAGTGGAGGCATGACACACTGCCCCCCCCCCCCCTGTCTCCACACCCCTAGCCATGGCCAGAGGCCAGCGCCAGCGCATAATGCAACTGGAGCCAGACGTTAAATTCCGTGCTTGACACCTGCACTCCGAAGACATCCGTCCTGTGACGAAAGCTTGCCATCAATGCCGGGATGCGTGCAGATTTCTAAAAATCAGCTCTCTCGACTCACAACCATTCAGAGGTGATGAAAAGCGGCCTTAATAGTCCGCTTGGATGACTGATTTGACGGATGATATGAAGCTGGCCTGGCATCGGTCCATAATCCATACCATATCGTGCACTGTTTCACACACGCTTTGCCGGAGATGCCACTCACCTTTGGTGCACTGGGCGCGAAGTTCAATGAGTGTCAAATAAGTGGTGGACCAGAGTTTCGAGCCTCCAAAATTAAATATTGAACTTGAACTTACTTAATCAATATGGAGCTTAAACAAGAAGGCATTTTCCCGACTAACCACATCCCTCACAACAGTTCACTTGCGATCTTTTTCATGTAACCATTTGCGTGCAATGTTTTTTAGAAAGAACATTGCACTTGTGATCTTTTATTTTTTGCTCACGACTTTTTATGCCACCATATGCCCTGCGATCTTTTGCGCTGTAATCTTTCAGTGCAACCAATGATGGACGCGACTCAAAATGAAAGATGGGACTCGATTCCCACCGGAACGTGCACTGAAAATAAATGGATTTTCGGGCCTAGGCGCAACAAGGCGGGGCTTTAAAGATATGGCGACCTGCTGCCTTTCCGCGGCCACTGAGCGCGGCACTCAGCCATACGACCAGATTGGTATGACGCAGTAGGCATAGACCACCTCATGCCGCCAGCTTTCTGCTCACTTTGGAATGAATGACAAAACAGGATGGCGGTGCATACCATGGTGTGTGGTAAGCCGGTCTGAGCATTTATGACTTTCGTTCACTCTTCTCAGGATCACGGTGTATACCATGGTATGTGGTGAGCGGGTCTGAGTATTTATGACTCTCGTTCGCTCTTCCAGGATCACAGTGAATACCATTGTGTGTGGTGAGCGGGTCTGAGTATCTGTGACTCTCGTTCGCTCTTCTCAGGATCACGGTGTATACCATTGTGTGTCGTGAGCGGGTCTGAGGATTTGTGACGCTCGTTCGCTCTTCTCAGGATCCAAGGTGTACACCATGGTATGTGGTAAGCGGATCTGAGCATTTGTGACGCTCGTTCGCTCTTATTAGGATCATGGTGTATACCATGGTGTGTGGTAAGCAGGTCTGAGAATTTGTGACGCTCGTTCGCTCTTCTCAGGATCCGAGGTGTACGCCATGGTGTGTGGTAAGCGGATCTGAGCACTTGTGACGCTCCTTCGCTCTTCTCAGGATGAGAGGTGTAGGCCATGGTGTGTGGTGAGCGGGTCTGAGCATTTGTGATGCCCGTTCACTCTTCCCCAGGAGAACGGTCATGGCTTCACCGATCAGGACCTCCGCGCAGTGGAAACATTCGGCGTGTTCTGTGGGCTTGGCATCCACAACAGCCAGATGTACGAGCACGCTTGTGAGTAGTCCATTCCACCATTCTAGAAAGGAGCGAGGGCGATGGCCACCGCCAGATTGCGCAGCTGAGGCACTGGAGACCTCGTTAGCTCATCAACTGACGTTTTGTACCTTGTTATCAGATTGTCACGTCGTAACATAGATACTGCCAGTGATGCAAACTTTACGCCGTCTTTTGACAATTTGACCCGTCATTTCACGACATAAACACAGCTCTGGAAAATAAGACACATTTAACATGTTTGAAAGCAGAGACGTGTTACGCATCTGGCAAGGCGCTTATAATTGCTTTGCAAGACGTAAGTCGAAGAAAATTGGAAGAAAAATTTTGTGAGATTTAAAAAAGTCTGAAAGTTTCCCAACAACAATATAAGCCATTGGATGGCCACAGATGCTTACAGTGCTCCGATGTGTTATGTAAGCACCACCCTAGCTGTTCGTCCAGTCCTTCCTTCGCCGGTTACGTCATTTATTGCTGACCCCTAAAAAAACAGCAAAAGACATTGACTTCTTAATCGAACGTCGCTTAAGCAAGCCAAGCCAAGCCAGCTTCACAAAGTGGGCCCGAAGGAAAGAACTGCTGACTATGTCGTTTTGAGCCGCCTCCGTGCGTGGGGTGCGTTGTCGTGTCCCGCACACTCCCCACAGATGGGCTGTGAGCCGCCATCTGTGGCGACTACCCAGCCTCCACAGCTCCCGGGCTCTGAGTTAGCCGCCGTCCATTTTCCGCACCGTGCCGTGAGCCCCCTCTACCCTTGCCCCTGATTCGCCGAGCGTGGAGCCGCTCTCCATCCACCTGCTCCATCCACAGACGTCACGGATCCAACTGCATTGATCGAGGTGCTCGTGAGCCTCCCCCACCGCGCCCCACCCACGTGTGTGCCCAGTCCTAACTCCCCCCCCCCCCCCGTCCTCTGCCTGTTGTGTCGTCGGTGTTCCCCACGGCCGCGGAACACTAACATTATCATGCGGGTCGTGAGGACTGGTCGCCAAGGTTTAAGGAAATCTGTCGTTAGTCCTACATGGGTGCATGGAAAATGCGGATTAGAATGGCCGTGAGCCCCACTCATCTTCTGCTCGGTGGTGGACAGCTTGCTCCGGGCATTAACCGCCCCATCTCACCCACGTGCCGCGTCTCGCGCTGCCACGTTGGCTGGGTCATGCGTGGTGAGCCTGTCAGCCTCGCCGGCTCCATTGTCTGTGGAGCCGAGGCGGCTCTACCGGCCTGCTTGTTGTGCCGCGCGAGCCGAGACGAAGCCAGAGCCGCCAGACCAGAGCCGTAGCCGGAGCGACCGATCGGTCACAGAGCGTCGCAGCTCCCACTGCATTGATCGGAAAACTTGACCGGCCGCCGAGCCGGCCGTGATCAGCCTGGTTAGCCGGAGGCGCGCGGTCGACACGGTATCCTCCGGGGCCCGCCCACGCGCCACCTTTCCCACAGTGGCCCCCCGCCCCCCGGCCTCGAGGGCACGTTCGCTTGTTACGACACCCGGGAGCACGGCAGCTGGGCGCGCCCCTATTGCTTCCCGTCTCGCAGCACGTGGAGCGTGGAGCCCGCCCCATCCATGCATATGACCATGGTCACGGTGTGAGCGCGAGCAAGGCTAAGGGAGAGCCGCGTTTTCTACACCCGAATCACCACTAGCAATGCTTTTGCGGCAGGATGCCAGTTAATATCTTCGATATATCTCGTAGTTTTTCACCACACTTTCTTTTCATAACAGAAAGGAAGGTTTTTAGCTCCTGTTCTTTCGGCGTTTCATGAATCTATCTGTTAACAGCCTTGAACATACCAGGAGGTGCCGCTTAAACGGCGTCTTAGTGCTAGAAATGATGGTATAGCCTGTATTCAATATTTCGAGCTGTGCTCATCCTTAAGAGCGGAGATGGTGAGGCGATGAGATGAGTCGATGCGATCATGTGAGGCGGTATCGATGGTGAGGAGACGTGTGACCTTCATCCCCTGGAGGGTGGTTGCAGCTCGAAATATTAAGTCTCATACTCGTTCTTAGCACTACAACGTTGTTTAACCAGTACCTACCGGTATACCGAAGGTTGAAGGTAAGAGCTTTCGGCTCATGATAAAACATGATTTCACTTCATAGGCCTGCCTTTCAAAGCGGGTGTATCACCCATTTCCGAAAAACTGCATCACTCAATGTCGACGTACTTTGACCTGAGGGCATTGTGCTGGCCGGTATTGCTATGAAACCTGTTCCATCACCTGCTGCTGGCTTTTGGTTGTTATTTGCCGTCCGCTTACCGTACGAAGCGGGCACACAACTGCTATTACGCCTGGCCTGTATGCCTGCTTCTTGGGAGCACGCATTCAACTTATGATGTGAAGGTCCCAGCTACAAATGATGGCACAACACCCCTCGCCACTTCTTTGCCATTTCAGCTTAATTTTTCTGCTAGAATTGAGTTTCAGCTTGGATCAAATTGATGGTTTGAACTTTTCTCGTGGTGCTTCCCTCTCCTCACTCGTCCGTACGTTGAAACTAAGACTTTGCAAGACAAGAGGCAACGCAAGGAGCGAACAACACGCAAATAGCAACCAAAAGAAAGCCAAATTCTTAACTAATGTCCTAAACTTAAGTTCTTGGCTTCCATATGACAGTCAAGAGGTGCAGAAATATTCTGCATACACATACAATGCGACCGTTGCTTTTCTATAGGTTCTGTATGACGATATCATTACAAGCCTAAGTGACCTCACAGCTCTTGCAGAAGGAAAAATACCTTCATAACGATCCTTGCCTCGTGAATAAGCAAGGAGTAGACTAATGCACTTTCAAAGCCACCACCTCATTTCTCCTGAAGGAGCATAACAGACCGCGTTGCATATGCTCTTGTTGTTTCAGCCCAGTTTGAATGTTGCTTTCTTATCGTTTGCATCGTTCAGAAGCACCTGGACATCTCTGACATTCTTAACACGCGCTCGGGTGAGGTTGACCCCCCAAAGGTTTTTCCAGAATGCTTTCAGAACGCCGCGGCGTAGCTGCGCCAAATTTTGCATAGCTGTAGAAATTGAATGGCGAATCGTTTGACATCAAACATTTAGATGTACCTTGTAAGGTCGCTAACCTATGGCAGGCCAAAGTCAGGCCATGGTTTCAGCGAAGGCAGTTTTAGGGAATCGTCCAATCTGATACAACAAAGGAGCGTTTGACGAAGTCCTACATCTCTGAGATACTTTCTTAGGTAACAAAAATATGGAATGCGCAGATTACGCTGACCTAAGGTCAAGTATGAAGGTCAAGCCAAGGTCACAACCAACCTGGCTTATTGCTCTGGTGCTTGCTGTATGGGATAATTTCTAGTGCTCATTTCAAGTTTATTGACAGCGGGAACCGCATCATACATCTTCCATTGACTCCTAAGAGGTCAGATAACGTCGTTGACCTAACTTAACCCGGGTCGACAATTTGTTTTTGGAACATGCTGCCTTGTGTAATCTTTGTCGCTTACTCAGATGCAAAACTCGGAGCAGTCTTGTAAGCTTATGGTCACCATAACCTTCGAAAGGTAAAAATAGGCCACTGACCTCAAATGGGCTTAGACACCCTCTGCTTAGAAACAGTTGCCTAGGTTTTGGGGGCACTTTGGAGACCAACCTGAAATTTGACCTTGTTTGACCTTGTTTGGCCTAAAGGTAATGACCTGGGAAGCTTAGACTTTTACCTAAGAGAGTTCACGTACAGGTCAATACACTCTGTAAATTTGGTGTCTCTAGCTTTTTTTCTTTCTGAGATCGCAGGGGGGATCAAATTGACCCTCCCCACCCGAACGAAGGGTATCCAGCCGGCCACCCGAGCGCGTGTTAATGTTCTCGGATTTTTCTGGACTTTGGGTGGATCACCTCGCTCAAAGTTTATGAGCATCGTGCTTGGAAACTTAACAGCAAAGAAAATAAAGCCTGTTAGATGCTGTTCCGAACCGGAAAGCTACGCTACCACTGAAAACAGCGGCGTGGAAGCGCTTAAGCCGGTGCGGGAGGGCACCAGAGCCGGGCTGTCCACTGGCTCTGGCGCCGGAGCGGCCGTCGACGCCGTCCGCTACCACGGCACTGCGTCACCAGGCCGGCTGATGGCCAAACAGCGTGTGGCGCTGGAGTGCCTCTCCTACCACGCCACGGCCAGCGCAGAGAGCACAGCACAGCTGGCCGCCCGGCACGTGCCCTCCGCTCACGAGCTGAACCTCTACAGGTGAGTGTTGGACATAGCTGAACCCATACCGGTGAGCGCTGGTTGCGTGCCGCCGGCTCACTCCCCTGCCGGTGAGTGCTGGGCATAGCTGAGCCCGTACCGGTGAGCACCGGCTATGTGCCGCCGGCTCACACCCCTGCCGGTGAGTGCTGGTCATAGCTGAGCCCGTACCAGTGAGCACCCGTCACGTGCCGCCGGCTCACGCCCCTGCCGGTGAGTGCTGGGCATAGCTGAGCCCGTACCGGTGAACACCAGTCACGCGTCGCCGGCTCACGCCCCTGCCGGTGAGTGCTGGGCATAGCTGAGCCCGTACCGGTGAGCACCCGTCACGTGCCGCCGGCTCACGCCCCTGCCGGTGAGTGCTGGGCATAGCTGAGCCCGTACCGGTGAACACCAGTCACGCGTCGCCGGCTCACGCCCCTGCCGGTGAGTGCTGGGCATAGCTGAGCCCGTACCGGTGAGCACCCGTCACGTGCCGCCGGCTCACGCCCCTGCCGGTGAGTGCTGGGCATAGCTGAGCCCGTACCGGTGAGCACCGGTCACGTGCCGCCGGCTCACGCCCCTGCCGGTGAGTGCGGGGCTGGGACGGGCGGCTCCGGCTGTGCGTGGTGGTCACTGCGCTACAGCATCAGGCTGGTACAGCGCAGTGCTGAGCTGGTGCAGGAACGGAATCCGTTCTGGTGAGTGCTGAGTTGGCGCAGTTAGCACTGATCTAGAACAGGAGCAGGACCTGTGCGAGCGAGTAGTTGGCTGATGCAATAGCTGCATCTACACCCGACAGCAGTTGATGTATCAATTGAACAGCTGCGGACAGCTAATCGACTGGTACCGCACCTGACCGCCTGCATGAGATCTTGGCATGAGCGCACAGTAACTGTATCCATGCCAGCTACATATCGTTTCGTCCGCAACCCAACAGAAGGTTTAGTTGTGGGGTTGAACAGCAGATAAGCCTAGACAAGAGGGTAGTGGCCTGCAGTGTTCTTGCAAGCATTGGGGCTGCCCGCCACTGCTTGCGCCGATGGATCTGATGCACACCGTGGTTTGTAGAAGAGTCGAAGCACCAGTGACTGTTTATGCGCCCTGTGCTGCAGCTATCAGTTCGACGACATGGATCTGGACACAAAAGACACTTGCACTGCTGCCATCCGAATGTTTAAAGACACAAATATGATCAAGAAGTTTCGGATTCCATATGATGTGAGTAGTGCCCCTACCAAACACGAGCTGTGTATGCTATGTGCCGTCCAGTACGCCAGTGATGCAATGGACTGGTTGTGGAGCGTGATATTCGGGCTGCTGGTATCGCCTTCAAGTGTACTATTATAGTCGCCCTTTGCGACTGACAAAAGTCGCCCGCAGGGTGTGTCGTGCATTATCATGCTCATCAACCCGGCATTTCCTCCATTAAATCAGGGTCGATTGGGACCAAAAATATCACACCATATCTTACACTGACCGACGGTGTTGACAAAAGTCACGCCACGTCACGTACCGGCAGTAGAGAGGCGGCCGACGGCCGGCTTCTGACGTACCGGCAATAGAGAGGCAGCCGATGGCCGGGTCTTGACGTACCGGCAGTAGAGAGGCAGCCGACGGCCGGCTCTTGACGTACCGGCAGTAGAGATTTAGCTATTCCTGCAGGCTTCGATGGCCTTTCGCGAGCATAATTTTGGAAAATCGCTTGCCGCCAATATCAAGCGTCAAGACCATTTCTTAAACTTCATGGGCATTCCAGCCAATCATGATTTTAGTTTTAACAGGGAGTGCACGGTAATGTGCTGAGCGCTGTCTGGCGTACAAACAGCAGAGCCGAAAGGTTTTCATAACTCGCACCAAGCGTAGGCAAAAAAGGTCTCCCAGTAGACATCAGTGTTTATCACAATGACCAGCTTACTATTTACAAATGTGCAAAACGTAAACAAAGCTGTTGTAACCAAGTATCAGCACGCGTGTGTGTTAAGCCTCGGGTGGCGATTAAGGATGCGTGAGACGATTCAGGCAAGGAATGGAACATTTCGGATTAGAATGCGCACGCAGATTTGCTTGTGCTAACTGTCATTGCTCAGACGTCTTACGTAGCCTTATGCTCACTCTCTCGTTTAAACTGCTTTCAATGAAATAAAACAAACTGCTTTAGTCAGAGTATATCTCGACAGCCAACCTCTACTATCCCAAAGTTTAAGTGATAATGCCTCATTTTATTCTTAAAGCAATTTATTTTATTCCAACGAGAGCGAGAGTCCAGGACTATGCAAAACATCAGTCGCTCTCATCACTCATCACCATGCTGCTCTCATCTCCATCTCAACACCTTATATATGTATTGTACATATATATATATATATATATATATATATATATATTATATTGCATATATTTATATATTGGTACGGAGAACATAACGAAGTATGCAGAGTTGTGTAAGAATTCGTTTGTCTGTTTAGGGCTGGAGAGAGTCCGTTAATGGATATACTTTCCCGAATTTTAAGGCATGTGCTGTCATTGCTCGTCCCTAAAATGTCATTGTTGTCCGTCAGTTGTTGTGTCAATGTCCCATCGTGTTCGTGTCGCATGTGGTCCAGAGGGGGTGCCCCGTCACTTAAGTGCATTGTCAGGCGTCGTGAGAGTGTCGCTGTGGCCACACCAATGTAGTGTATGTAACGAAGTATGCAGCCTTCGATGTTGCATTTGAATTGATGCACTACATTGGCACATTTTAGTTTGTCGGGTTTGTCTGGGCTGTTTCTCATTGCAAAGCTAGATATTTTCTTATTACGATAATAAATGACGATGTCTACTTCATGGTCGTTTTTGTCTTTAACATGTCGAGAGATAATTCCCGTAAAGCTTTTTCGTCTTGCTTATGGGCAGATGCCATTAGATTTCGATGATACAGTTTGACGGTTGGTTGGATGCTTTGTCTTGGTTTGCTGTGAAAGTGTCTTGCCATATGTCGTATTTCGTTTTCAACGTCAGATTACGGTACAGTTGGAATCGCTGTATCTGGCTGGGTGGTGGGATCACAGAGCGAGCACAGCAGGGTTCGCTGTCCGTCACCAAAATTGAAATTACCCGTGTGCAAACACCTTGTCACTTCGTATATATGTATAGATAGATAGATAGATAGATAGATAGAGAGAGAGAGAGAGAGAGAGAGAGAGAGGAGAGAGAGAGAGAGAGAGAGAGAGAGAGAGAGAGAGAGAGAGAGAGAGAGAGAGAGAGAGATATATATATATATATATATATATATATATATATATATATATATATATATATATACGAAGTGCCCTCAATTAGTCATGCTTCATTTGTGTTCTCCATACCAATATATAAATATATGCAATATAACATATATATATATATATATATATATATATATATATATATATATATATATATATATATATATATATATGTATATGTATATATATATATGTATACATGTGAGTGATTGTGTGTGTGTGTGTGTGTGTGTGTGTGTGTGTGTGTGTGTGTGTGTGTGTGTGTGTGTGTGTGTGTGTGTTATAGTGTGTTATATCCTAATGTCAGAGTGTGTACAGATTCAGAACAGCACCGTGTCTCAAGACTAAGTTTTGAGTTCTTCTTCTCTCTTGTTTTTCCTTCAGCAATGCAGCATAGCTTTAAACGTCAGGTGTGTTTAATATAACCATGGCCTTGCGAACATGCCGTTTCACCAGTTCCTCTTGGCACTGCTTGGACTTGCCTATACGGATCATCAAGTGCAGTCATTCGAGTACGTGTAAATGTGTATGTGGCGGGCTTAAAACGCATGCGTGTATGCGTGTGTGCGAACGAGCGTGCGTGCGTGCGTGCGTGCGTGCGTGCGTACGTGTGTGTGTGCGTGCGCGTGCACCTGGGGACGTACGTGCGTGCGAGCATGCGCGCGTACATGCCAATGTGCGTGTGTGCGAGCGAGTGTGCGTGCGTGCGTGCGTGTGGGCGTGAGTACCTGGTGTGTGAATAGGTACTCGTCAGTGTTATAATACGCATGTGTAGTTGCACGTTCTGTTATCTGAGCCTTTCGTGCTTTGTTTGTTGGTGCGATTTTATATAATGTTGCGTCGTCGCTCTTGCATATCGTCGAAACCCATGCTCAATTTTTGAACAGTACGAAGTGGCAAAGTGTTTGTGCAAGGGTGAATTTCAGTTTATGTGACAGGCAGCGAACCTAGCTGTTCGCTCTGTGATCCTACCACTCAGTCAGGTACAGCCATCCCAATTGTATTATGATCCTACCACCCAGCCAAGTACAGTCATCGCAGCTGGCCACCGCTCCGGTCTGTCATGGCCTCATCGGCGTTGTGTTGCCGACAGGTGCTTTGTCGCTGGATTCTCAGTGTACAGAAGAACTATAGGCCCGTGAAGTATCACAACTGGCGGCATGCCCTGAACGTAACACAGGCCATGTTCACGCTGCTGCGAACTGGCAAGATGGGCAATTTCGTCTCCGACCAGGAGGTAACAAAGCACGCGCACCGCGCTCGCATGAGTCATACCGATGTCGTTGCACTCACACATTTGCGCAAGTCCTCTAAGGATGAGCACAGCTTGAAACATTGAATAACGCCAATATAATCGTCGTTCCAACACTATCACGTCTTTTGGCCAGCAACTCGTGGCAAAGTGAAGGTTATCAACTCAGTATAGGAACGTTAAACTTATTATGTCAAATAAACAGTACCTGAACGTCGTTTTTTCTTAGCTGTTGCCATCCTTTTTTGTCCTGATCTAGTCGCAATCTGGTGAAAACTTGCCAATCTTTCCGGAGTGGCGTAACATATAAAGATGCTGGAAAAACGAAAACATATCGGGTACGTTTATTAGGGTATGTAGGGCACACTGATCATGACATTGATACTAATACCTTTAGGCACCACCAGTGTGCCAGCACTTCAGTGACATTTCTGCATCTCCTTGGTTGTTTTTTCTTCCGACATGTATTGGGCGGGGGAACGGGGCTCAGAGGAATATTGTGAGTGGGGGCTCCGACCAACATCGGGGAGAGAGCCTCCTGAGCCTCTTGAGAGAGAGCATCTGAGAGAGCCTCTTGGGCCTCCAAAAGTACATGACGTGCTGCCTCTGGTATTACCAAATACAATTATCACAAATAGTTCCTTTGCGGTGCACATTTTTTAGCCAGACATCGCCCGGCATCCTAGAGAATAATACATGAATTTCTAGACTTACATTCACCTGAAGAGAGCATGCTGGCCACACTACAGTGAATTTGGTGACACAATTTGGCTCATTTCAATTCAGCACGCAAGAGTTCACCGTATAGCATCAATATTTTGCAAGCAGGTATATTCAAACACAGTGTGCCAGATTGACAGCACGGAGTGACAGCGCGTTTATAAGCAGCGGAGAAACTCTCCACCGGTAACACCAACTTTAGTGAAACAAATTGTGCAGCAGATGGCGCAGTGCGGAGCCTGCGTACTGCTCAGCGTGCGGGCAAACAGAACCATTTTATCACGTTCGTCGAATTGGTGTCGTATCCGTATTCAGATTCATTGTCAAGTTCAGATTTCCAAAAGCAATCTCCCCTGGCCAAACCCGTTGAGTTATTCACGCATCTGCAATTTTCGTTCCTCAGTCACTTAGTTTGACCTTAACAGGTCACTGAACAGTCAAAACCTACGTCCCTTGGTATCCCTTCGTTTGTCGAAGAAATTCGATAGAATGGATATCATTTTGATACTCGTGATGTCCACCTTCGTCACATCTAAACAAATTCGCTCTCAAGGTCAAAGGTCAAGGTCACATCAAATTAGATATCCTGGCATTTATTTGCTCATGAAAAAAGAGCACAACAATGCTGACATGTTGAGCAAATTCAAATAAGCGAATTCTTGTGACGCGTATGGGATTAAGAGCCAAGCATTATCCTCTCCTTCAAAGCACTCCAATAACATTTGGTGACGACCAGAGCTTTAACTGACCGAGCCGCCGTGACGACCAGAGCTTTAACTGACCGAGCCGCCGTGACGACCAGAGCTTTAACTGACCGAGCCGCCGTGACGACCAGAGCTTTAACTGACCGAGCCGCCGTGACGACCGGAGCTTTAACTGACCGAGCCGCCGTGACGACCGGAACCTTAATTGACCGAGCCGCCGTGACGACCAGAGCTTTAACTGACCGAGCCGCCGTGCGCATAATAACACATCAGACGCCGACCATATCTCGAACGATTGATGTATCCGTAGCACTAATACCTTGTATCCGTAACACTAATACCTTGTATCCGCAGCACTAATACCTTGTCTCAATCCTACAGCAAAACTAGAAATCCCGACAAGCGTTTTGAACCGTGTGATCGGGTTTCTTCCTCGTATCATGTATGTGACCTAGCCAGACCCCATTAAAGCTCATTGTCAGCACAACCGTTCCATGTATAATTTTTCTACCAAGCCAAAGGGCTCACGTATTAAATTTTTTATAGCTGTAGATCGAGTTCTGTTTTGCTAATTTATATTGCAACCTAAGCATATCTATTGACTCTGGCCCAGTGGGTCAGATCCCACGGCGTCCGCGCCAGGATTTACATCCACGGTGCGCTGTGGAATTTCCGACCTCGAGGCGCCATCCACGGTCTCAGTGGCGCAGTCGGCGGCGAGGCAGCACCAGCGAACTTGAGGCCTAGCTTCGAGGTCGTGAGCTCGCGCCGGGCTGGCTCAGGACTCGTGTGCCAGCTTCCTGTGGAATCTGATGGACTGTTCGCTACAGTCGATTGCATGCCTTCTGTGTAATGCAATATCATTTCTCGATCAATTAATGCGAGCATTCTGGATATAACACCCACTTTAACTCAAACCACACCCATTATTGTAGCATCTACGCCCCGTAGGCCAAAAACATGATGCCGAATTATCAAAGAAAACTTAAGTTCTGCTCCATATTTGCACATCCAGCAGATTTCTGGAAAACCATTGGGTTTGAGCCAGGGAGACTGCTTTGAAAATCTGAAGTGGACAATGCATTTAAATACGAATGCGACGCTAACTTGACGGACATTGTTTGGAACACGGATGCCGATTTGTATTCTGCTGTGAGGGCAGTGGCCTCCTACGTTCCCTTCCCTCCCCCCCCCCCCCCACCCGATGTTGAGCTGGGCTCCACAATGTTGGCTTGCCCACTGCCCCCCCCCCCGCAATGTTTTTGGCTGGAATGCCGTAGGAAGCGCAGGCAAAAGATGGCTATCACGCACCCGCTATTTACTTTGACCCTTCTGCGTCGTGGTGTCAACGTGGAGGAAACAGTGGGGAAACTTGGTCCCTCAATCTCAAAATTATGTCCTCAAATGATGGGTAACTTTGAATTATGGGGCTAAGCCACTTTATGTAAGACTTTGTTGGGCCATGAAGCTTTATTGCGAACTAAACATGTTACTGACGTCACTGATTCACTGGTCTCGTGAAGACTTTTACGCTAAGCGCCATTTGGTCTTCTACCCATGGAGGGCTCCGAACCTTACGTTATGTGACTTGAAACCAGACTTTCTTTGCGGTACGGTCTCATAAGAAACTAAAATCGGACAACAAAATGCTATTTTTGGTGCGGCAACGTTCCTCCAGTCTATGGGTATAGCTATGGAATGGGATATGCGACACACAAAACGGAAGCATAAATTTTACTGTGACAGATTTTGAATCAACTTCCGTCCTAAAAACCTTTTTTGCTATCACTCCAAATCACCATCCAGTTATTGTCATGAATGTTTAACAGACTCATTCTGCCTCGGACCTGTACCGAAATAACATGAAATGACCTAAGGCGCCAGACACGGGCACGGCCATTGCCGCCCCGTGATCAGGCTGGCGCTGTCTAGTTAGCAGCCAAATGGTCCTCTTCGGCGAGCCATATATAAACACCTTTTCTAGATGGCGAACTACTCCACTAAGCGTCTCGCCACATCACGAATGTGGTCAGCATAACTTCAATGAGCTCAGCTCTACCAAAGTTGGGCTTCGGCAAGGACGGTTGGTGTCTTTGCGGCAAGGCAGTTTTTTGTGAGCATTTTGCGTGTTGCAGTCGTCGAGTTTGTCGAAAGGCAATGTTTGTTGATTGCCAAATCACTCACTTTTCCCAAAAATATCACCTGTGACCTACGAATTAGCCAGGAGCAGCTGAACTTGGGTAAAGATATGCCACCATAAATAGTAACCTTGATGTTGTTTTTAAATATCATTACGGCCAAGCTTGCTCTATACGTCTTGCGGCAAAAATACAGGAAAGCTCGAGTTCCATCTGGAATCCCATGGTAATTGAATTTTGAAACGTTAAGCTGCATTCTAACACGATTTCCTGGCAATTCGCAGAATTGGGTTTGCATACAACTTTCAGACTGCGAAGAAATGCAACACCATGGGCTACAGAAAATGGCGTCATTAAGTGGTGCGCAAGTATACGCATTTTAGCGAAACTTGTCTTGTAGGCCGGTTTGTTACTGTTTTGTAATGCTGAGAGAGCTAGCCCACAATAAATTAAGATGTCTTACAAATATGGGACGCATCCATTTCATGGAGATTTACACACGCCTCAGACGCGCAACAACAATTTAACACGCGCACGGGTGGCCGGTTGATTGCGACGCGCTCGGTAGGCGAGGGGGTCAATATGACCCCTGAGATAAAACAAAGCAAGGAAGCCCAAACCGAAAAATTCCCAAAGTAGGAAGGCCTGTGCATGAACTCGTTTGTGTCAAATTTTGAGATAGACTTGGTCAAAATACCTGGTGATGTTTGGACAAAATAAGGGCAAACTTCACATCGGTATCCGAGGTACCCCCAGACCTTGTCATGCAGATGCTTAAACCCTAAGGACCTGTTCTGGGCAAAATTTCAATGGTGTTGCTTTCAGGTCACACCGGTCGGAAGGCTGCACCGCACCAGTTGGAAAAGACGGCTGTTAGGAGTCATTTTTGGTCAGTGACCTCCGCTGGCCTGCAAGAAGTCCAGACACGATGTCTGTTGACATCCTTGTGATCAAGAAATCGGAAAGAAGCATCAAAAAAACTTATTCACACACATTCTTTAGTGAACAAACAATTTGGTTTTGACATCGGTCCGGCCTTGATACTGACCCAAGTTCACTGGCATTAGTCGTAATCCCAACCTCAATTGGCTAATTCTCTGAGCAAGTATCTCAGACATTGAAGGCTTCCTTTAAACGGAGTATCCCACCTAAGGCCATATTAAAAAAAGAAAACATACTATAATGGAACCTCAGGACTATTTGCTTGCAAGAATAACACGGGGAAGTGCCAGTGTAGCACTGTCAAGACTTAATGAATATATCGTTTAATTACTTTCGAGTCTAAGTTGCGCTGTCAACGCTTTGTAACAGCATTGCGCTATTTCCCCGCAGTCCCGACGACCGTCGTCATGACAATCACCATGTGCACCTCTATCGGCGCGAATAAAAGAGCTTTTGTGAGTGGTCCGTTGGACAAAGACCG